CAGTCTGTATAGCCCAGGCCACGCCCCTTATCCTGAGTCCCACGCCCTGTCCAGTCTGTATAGCCCAGGCCACGCCCCTTATGCTGAGTCCCCGCCTCCCCAGTCTGGTCAGTCCCCCTGTTGCCTCAGTTTCCCCATGGGGAGGACAAAATGCCCCAAGATGTAGGACCCCGTGCTAGACGCGCTGCCCCCTGCTGGTGGCTGGGCAGTACTGAGACGCTAACCCGCATTGCCCCATCCGGGGCTGGGGGTCTCTTGCAGCACCACACAGGGCCAGCTCCCACCCCTCTCCCACCGTTCAGTAGCAAGCCCCAGCCCAGGCACCCACCCCTCGTCGGGCACCCCCGGTTCCAGCGTGCGGCATTCCCGCGGCTCCCGGACCACCTCCACATCGTCGGCGGGGAACTCGATCAGGTCACGGAGTGGGCCAGGCTCCAGCTCGGGGGGGTGGGCAGCCAGATACTCCTCGAAGTCCACCGGCTCCACCACCTCCGTCAGCGGCACCTGCGGGGACAGACCGGTCAGCACCGGGCTGCTCTCCGCAAACCCCACCCACCACTGCCCCCTGCTGGTCGCTGGAGCAGGGACGACCCCTGTGTGGACCCCCCAGGATGAGACAGGCTGCGCTCCCCACAGCGGTGGGATAAGCTAAGGGTTAGAGCAGGAGGCTGGGAGCCAGGACTCCTGGGTTCTATCCCCGGCTCTGGGAGGGGAGTGGGGTCCCGTGATTGGAGCAGGAGACTCAGGACTCCTGGGTTCCTTTGCCAACTCGGGGTGCGATCTGGGGTACCATATCAGTGCCTGTCTTTTTAACGAACCTTGACTGAGCGGGGAGAGCGCCCCCTGCCGAGCTCCTGGCAGCCCGGCGCAGCTGAGAGAGAGTCAGGATCGACTGGGTCTAGAGCGCCCCCTAGCGAACCCCCAGCATCGCTCCTGCAGCCCCCCAGCTCCCTTCCGCCGCTCCCCCGCCAGGTATCCTCCCAGCCTGGCCACCGAGAGGCAGCAGGACGTGGCTGGCCAAGGGGGCTCTCTCAAGGCTCCCGGGCTGGGTGGGGGCCGCGCCGGCTGACGGGAAGGGGCACGGGTAGCACAAGCCATCTGTGCCGGAGGAAATCGCAGCGCCGACCTGCCCACGAGCGCCTGCCGGGCCGGCACTGACCGGGCAGGAAACCAAAACCACACGGGAAAGGGAAGGGGAAACCAATGCGGTTAGATCTAAAGCGCGCCGCAACCCTCACCCTTGGCGCCTGGTCCCACGGGGCTCACGGAGGCCGATGCCAATGCTCCGGCCCTGAGCCTGCCAGCAGATGGAAACGCCCGGTTCTCCACGGCATGCCCCCCGCAGCGCAGCTCCCCTGCTCTAACCACTAGCCCCCCACTCCCCTCCCAGAGCTGGGTA